CTCAGGTTCCCAAAAGGTAGGAATTGTACTGATGATAGTGATGATGATGGTTCAGAAGTCCAAGGACTCTTGAGACGAAAATCACTACTTCCTTATAACATTTGGTTATTTTGACATTGAGGATTTTTAGGGTAAAGACTTAAAGATCTCCTCTTTTATTGTCCCTAATTTTTGCCTTAATTGTTTCTTTTAAAGCCTATAGTCAGCGGGATGCCCCAGTTTTGCCTAAGTCTCCTTCATAGGTTTTGACTTAGCGGGCTTTTCTTTTGATTGATTTTTTTGAAAGAAAGAGAGTGATTGTCTGGCTTTAATGATTACGGTGACCCATCATCGACTTTTTGGCTTGAAAACATCTTCGACACTTGCTTATTGTGTGCGAAGGAAAATAAATTGTGGTTGCAACCTTTATATGAAAGGTGTCTCGAATAAACATACAATCGAGTTAACTGACAACTACCCACCCCAAGGTTTAATATTTAAGGTTTTTTTGTTTGTAAAGAAAGAAAACTCCTACTTCTAGGCTCGAAAGGGTTAACGAGGGATTATCTTCCTTATTACTCTAGTGTTTGGGGATTAAAACAATGTCTTACACCATCAAAAAAGTTTGATTGAAAGCATACTGACAGCAGTTATGGGTATAACATTTTCATCATCCTCCATCAAATATTTGCATGTCAAAAGTTTGAACAAAAGGTGCATATTTTAAAGATAAAGCATAAAGATGCAAATACTAGACAAAATGAATTGCATCAAAAGTTGCAATGCTCATTTCATTAACACAAAAGTACAAACATAATTTGAAGGCAAACAACTAGTACAAAATAAGGAAAGTGCAAACAACAAGAAACATGGCCTAGTGACTAATCAGCAACAAGGATGAGTCGTCTTGTCTGAAACATTAGCGTTTAGAAAGACAACCTGCTGAAGTCAGTCTGAAGCTTTACGTTTGATGCACTGGCAAAGGATTGTTCTGGACATTCAGATGACTATCCTTAAAATCAAGGATTCCAGTTCTAATCAACTCACACACTCTGGCTTTCAGTGCATAACAATTCTCCAAGTCATGTCCTGGGGCACCCTCATGAAAAGCACAATGGAGATCAGCTCTAAATCCAACTGGAGGAGGATTAGGAGGAGGTTGCAAAGTCTTTGTAGTGATCAGCCCTTGTTGAACCAAGTCAAGATAAAGTTATGTGTATGTCATGGGAATAGGATCAAATTGATTCCTATTTTGATACTGGTTCTGTCCAACAGTTGGATGTTGAGGAATCTGAGCTGGTCGTGGAGCAGTGACAGCAGCAATAGTAGGAGTAACGGTAGCAATAGCGGGGTGATTATACCTTGGTTGGGGAAGAGGACTTCTCGCTTCAGCCATGACAACGTTGGTTTGATCTTCTTTCTTCTTATGGAAGGTCCCAAAGGATTTCTTCGCACCATTAGAAGATTCAGTAGCTTTGGACCTTACCATTTTCCAGTCCTTCTTCTAACCTTTGGCCAATAGTCACCAGATCTATAAAGCTTGAAGATACACTCCCAATCATCTTTTCCCAATAAAAGGGGACAGAGTATGCATGAGCATTCCATTTAGCTCCTTCTCTGCTAGAGGGGGTTCAACCTGGGAAGCCAACTCTCTCCATCGCTGAGCGTATTATTTAAATGACTCTCTCTCATTCTGATACATATTTTGAAGTTGACGGTGATCAGGAGCCATGCCCGGATTGTATTTGTACTGCCTCATAAAAGCATTGGCAAGATCCTGGAAGCAGTGGATGTTGTTATGCTCTAAGTTCATATACCATTTGAGAGAAGCACCACTCAAGCTGCCCTGAAAGCAGTAGATGAGCAGCTTCTGATTGTTGGTGTAAGTTTCCATCCTTCGGAAGTACATGACTAGATGGGCTCTTGGACATGAGTGACCCTTATATTTCACGAACTCAGGAGTCTTAAGCTTAGCAGGCATAACGAGGCCAGAAACTAAGCACATATTATCTGCATCAACGTTGAAGAAATCAGTACCATCGACGGCCTTGAGTCTCTTGTCTATGTTCTGAAACTGTTCACGGATAATCTCATGCTCAACAAAATCTTCATGGTCTTCCCCTTGAGCACTGGAAGCATTATAGTCAAAAAAATGAGTCTCAAAGGGAGCTCGGCCAGTCTGGGTAACAGTGTGGACCACAGGTTTGGGCTTAGTAAAGATGGGAGCTTGAAATACTTGTCTGACAGTCTGACCAATCATAGCAGTAGATGCAAGGGGTGGAGAGTAGTTGGGAGGTAAACCAAACTCTGGCCAAGTTGAAGGCGGTACTTGAACAGGAGGAGGATCAGCACTAGAAACTTCTTAAATGATGGTCCTCTGAGATGGCTCTTCTCTGGCAATCAGTACTTGAAGCATCTCGGTGAGCTTAGTCAGGCCTGATTTCAAATCATCAATCTCCATTCGGATTTCTGTGTTATATACTTCTTTCTCTGACATCTTGCGTCTTTAGTTGGCTCTAGTCCGATATTGGTGTCGAGGAATCAGTTTGACGACTCAAAGGCACACTGGAAGATGGGGACAGCTGAAGATGAGCGACCGGACAAGCAGAGGTATGCAATGAACCATGCAAAGATGCAAATGCAATGCAATGCTATGCAATAAGGGATGCAAAACACACATAACATGATCAAAGGTTCAAGATCACAATATAAGGTCTGGGTAAAGAACCAACCATAGGGCGTGTACTATGGGTAAAGCACCTGCACAGCGGGTTCTAACAAAGTTCCCAAAGTCATTGACCCATCTTTCAGATATTATTGACACACCAACTACTTGGAAATCAATAATATTCTCAAGAGAGTCTCGTTTGAGTGTGGTATCGTGTATCAACTACTTCGGGACTACTCCCTCATAGTCATCCCACTACATCCTAAAAGGTCAAGTGGGGATAAAAGGTAACTAAAAGTCCTCAGTGTCACAGGCTCCTAGGTTGAAAGTAGTAATGTTTTCACAAATACTCGTTCAACAAAACTACCCCAAAGAGGGCCTCCACTGAGCGGTGGTTTCTCAAGTCAGCTTGGTCGGGAATCAACTCCCTATAAGCCTTCTTGAATATACCACCTTCCTATCATAAGTACACTCAAGTCCGGGTATAGGACTTATGCTCACCACTCAAGGTAACAACCCTGCATACAGAAAAACCCAGACACAAACAGATATATGTACAAATATATATAAATATACAAGCAAGTAAACATATAGCAAACACAAATATAAACAAGGTGGGCTTAACCCTCTTAGGGGAGGTCCCCAGTGAAGTCTCCATTTCTGTTATGGTGAGAATCGTGATGCCAAGCTATTGATTAACTTGAATCTTAATTCTTAAATTCACAATCGGACTTTAATTTATCCAAAGGAAAGGTTTAAAGAAATAAAAACCTTTTTGCACTACATAACAACGAAGCTAAGAGATCTAAAGGTTTGGGGGTTGGTTATGCCTAGGGTAGGTATTTCACATCCTAAACATCTGT